AACCTCATATGCATGTGAAAGCTGGACAGTGAATAAGGAAGACCATAGAAGAACTGATGCTTTTGAGTTATGGTATTGGAGGATAATATTGAAAGTGCCATGGGCTGCCAAAAGAACCAATATATCCGTTTGGAAGAAGTGCAGCCAGAGTGCTCCTTGGAGGCTAGTATGACCAAACTTTGTCTCTCATATTTCGGACATATTGTCAGGAGGGGCCAGTCGCTGGAGGAGGATATCATGTTTAGTAAGGTGGAGGGTCAGAGAAAAAGAGGAAGACCCCAATGAGATGGATTGGCCAAGTGGCAGCATCGATGGACTCAAGCGTGGCAACAGCAGTGAGTTTGGCTCAGGATGGGGCAGACAGTGTTTCGTTCTGCTGTGCATAAGTTCACTATTGGTCAGTACCGACTCAATGGGACCTAACAACAGCAACAACATAGAGGAGTCCAGGTGTGGGTTAATGCAAAGTCAGTTTGAACTACAAGATTGGCGGTCTTGCTCACCAGCTGCTCCTCAGAAACCCTATATAGGGTCACTATGGATCGGAACCAACTTGACGGTAGTTAGCAAAAACAACAAAAAATATATATAAAAGAACCTTGAAAATAGACTTAGTAAAAGAAGCCATCTACAAAAGGCCACAGAGAATGTAATTCCATTTATATGAAAGGTCTAAAATAGGCAAATCCATAGAGACAGAAAATCAGTGAGTAGTTGACAGGGACTGGGGAGAAGACAGACTGACTGCTTAATGGGTACAAAGTTTCTCTTCGAGGTGATGAAAAGGTTCTAAAATTAAATAGTAGTATGGTTTCTGATTGAATATATTTAAAACCACTAAACTATATTTTAAAAGGGTATATATATATATTTTAATTGATAAGAATTTAATGAAGAGATAATTTGCAAAGATATCTAAAGGACTTACAGAAACTAAGAAGGTACAGTAAAATGGCCCAAGGCTATCTTCAGTGGGTCATCTTACTGGGATAAAGAACTGATACTAAATACATCAAACTGTAGCAACATGGAGTAAGTCCTAGCACAGGAGCTGTGGCTTTTGTAGAGGGACACAAACACCTAACAGCAACTCAACAGGAAGGGTGCAGGGGACAAAAATATGTTAAAAGGGTATATTTTATGATATATGAATCTCAATAAACTTGTTACTTAAAAGAAAAAGTAACTTGGCCCCTTTAAGTCATTAATCATTGACCATCCCAAATGGAAATAGCTTTTCAAAATTTATCTTTGGTAGACTTTTTTTTCATAGATGAGTGATGAGATATATATTCCAACTTAAGAAACAAATTAGCTAATGGTTTACTTTCATTTGTTTACAAATGCACCTGCAATCACAAACATTAGATCTAATTAGTGAGCCCTTAGTTAAGGGTTGATTTTTAACAACTGAGTCAATGGAGCCTTTGAAAAAAGAAAAGAATGCCCACAAAGAAGTAATGGTCAGCAAGAGAGTTATGATGTTATCAAAGCAAAAAGAACTGTACAATTCAAGGAGAAAATGGTACCTGTTATCAGATAAAACAAGGTTCACAAAGTATGGTGCTCAACTACAATCATCAGTATCTCCTGGGAACTCGTTAGAAATGAAAGCCAAGACGTACTGAACTGGAAACTCTGGCAACAGAGCCCAGAAATCAATGTTTTAACTAGCTCTATAATCAAAGAAGGAGCTCTGGTAGCGTAGTGGTTACGAATCGGGCTGCAAACCGCAAGGTCAGCAGTTCGAAACTAACAGCTGCTCCATGGTAGAAAGATGAGGCTTTCTGCTCCCGTAAAGATTTACAGCCTCACATACCCTGTTCAGGGTCGCTATGGGTCAGAACTGACTCAACAGTACTTAACAACAACAACATAATTGAAGAATCGCTAAGATAAAAGAGCCCAGAAAGATAAGGACTAAAACGAATTCACTAGCTTTGTCA